GGCTTCCAGTCCCCTCATCATCTTTATTGCTCTTCTCTGTACTCTTTCTGCAGGCTCAACATCATCTTTACATCGTGGTGAGCAAAACTGGGGCTTCTGAAGAGTTCAGATATGCTTAATATATATATTAAAAAGTTCAAATGTACTTCAGGGGCCAAAATCCGAATTAAGTGTCATGGGGGGACTAGGGAAGAAGAAGGGGTCTCCTCAGGGCCCTACAAACGGTTTCTAAGCCTCTGTGTAGAAATTGGGTGTCCCCAAGTTACAGGAAGCCCAGCCATGGTTCGAGGGTTTTTGTCCTAGGGAGGCAAGCAGGGACCTCTGTCCGATTCTGGGCAGAAGGCAAGCGAAGGGCCCGGGGGGGGGCAGGCCCTCCTGGGCACTGCAGGGCACTCTTCGCATGGGCAGAGGAACCCCGGACCCGGATGTCCAACGGAGGGACGGAGTGCCGACTGGGAAGCAGGGAAGGGCGGGAGAAGTGGAGGCCAAGGGGCAGGACTAAAAGGCTGAGGTGGAGGCCGAGAGGAGACCAGAAGCAGCGCCCGCGCCTCAACCTAGTCACGACCCGATCCATCATCACCGCAGCCCCTTTGGACTCGGCAGAACCTCCGTCTCCCTACTACGCAGCCCATTCTCCACAGCCATCACAGCCTTGCCAGGTGCCGGAAAGGGAATCCCTCGTCCGAGTCCCCCCCAAACCTCGGGGGGAAGCAGGGAGGGAGGATCCCCGGCCGTCTCTTCCCAATCCCGGGGAGGGAGGGAGGAAGGAAAAGGCTCCGGGCCTCTCCAGACTCCACCCGGCTGTCCAAGAGGCGGCTCGTTCGGAGTCCTCCCGAGGTCCTCTCTAGGACATTCCTCTCGTTCTCCCTACTCCCCACCCCCCCCCCGTATCTGACGTTCCAGAGCTCCGTTGCGGAGGATTTTCCTTCTCCGCCTTTTCCCCCCTGGCGGCATTTTGGGCGGCGGTGCAACTTCTGGACGTCCGGCAAGGCTGCTCCTCGGCCCCGCTCCGGGCAGGTGGGGCTGCTCCTGCTCTCCCTCGGCCGGCCAGGAGGAAGGTAGCCCCGAGTCCCCCCCCCGGGTCCCCGGAGGGTGGCTGAGCCTGCCAGGATCCCGGGTGGCTGCAGGGCTGGACGGGGAAAAGGGGGGGCTCGCCCCACGAAGGGAAAGGGGGGGGGCTTTTCTTTTGAAGGATTTGGGGGGGGGGAATATGGGGCAATGGAAAGAAAGACCCGCCTTCTCCCTTCAATGGGGGGGGGGAGGTTGGTTTAAAGAGGGGTTAAATTGCTTGAATTGAGCTCATGGTCTCCCAACCCAGAAAAGATCCACTTTCTTTCTGCTTAATCTAAATAGAGAGGAATGAATATTCTTTGCTTTTATTCTGATTCTTTGTTTTTCTTTTGTTTCTACAAAGCTGGGCAGAATCTGAAAAAAATCATTATTTTCCTTGTTTTGCTATGAAGAGGCTGTGAGGTGGCAGCCCCTTGGTGGGTTTTATCAATCAGAATAGAGCTGGAAGGGACCTTGGAGGTCTTCTAGTTCAACCCCCTCCTCAAGTAGGAGTCCCTATACCATTCCAGACAGGTGGCTGTCCAGTCTCTTCTTCAAAGCCTCCAATGATGGAGAACCCACAACCTCTGAAGGCAAATTGTTCCCCTGGTTAGTTGTCTTCACTGTTAGGAAGTTTCTGCTTAGTTCCAAGTTGCTTTTCTCTTTGATTAGTTTTTATCCATTGTTTCTTTTCCTGCCTTCAAGTGCTTTGAAAAACAGGTGGACACCTTCTTCTTTGTGGCAGCGTCTCCAATATTGGAATACTGTTATGATGTCACCCCTGGTCCATCTTTACTCTAGACTTTACCCCTATCCAACACCTGGCAAGGCTCTAGAGTTCCCTATTATTTCCTCATCTAAGTCATTGATGAAGACTTTGAAGAATACTGGGCCTAAAACAGAACCTTGTGGTACCCCACTGTTACTTCCTTCTATGTAGATGTAGTACCATTAAGGACTACTCATTGAGTACAGTTTGTCAGCTCATTACAAATCCATCTGGTGGTGATGCTGTCTACCCCACATTTGTCTAGCTTACCAAGATACAGGTTGTTGAATGTCTTGCTGAAATCTAAGTATACTATGCCTACAGCATTTTGCTGCTCTACTAATTTAGTCACAATGTCAAAGAATGTGGCAGCCCCTTGGTGGGTTTTATCAATCCGAATAGAGCGGGGTGGAATCTTGGAGGTCTGGTAGTCCAACCCCTTCCTCAAGCAGGAGACCCCATACCAGGGCTTTTCAACCTTTTCACAGATTTTACCACTTTTAGAATATGGCAATATTCAAGTACCACCAGTCGCCTAGCAAGGTGATGTATGACCATTTTTCACACTTATGACTGTTGCAGCATCCCCAGGGTCTTGTGATTTAGATTCATATGCTTAGCAACGGATTCATATTTATGACGGTCACAGTGTCCCAGGGTCATGTGATCCCCTCGTGCGACCTTCTGACAAGCAAAGCCAATGGGGAAAGCAGATTCACTTAAGAACTGTGTTACTAATTTGACAACTGCAGTGATTCACTTAACAAATGTTCCAAGAAAAGTCATAAAATGGGACAAAACTAATTTAACATTTCTCACTTAGCAACACAAATTTTGGGCTCAGTTGTGGTTATTGGTTGATGACTTTCTCTACACCCACTTACCACACTTTTAATAGGAAACTTGTGCCTGTTTCTCTGACATCAATCTTTGCATTATTCTATCCCCTTCTCCTGGTTGACTCAAAGAAGCCGATAGGTGATTGCAGGGCCTTTGGGGAGGGGTACGGCTTCTGCCATTGTGTGGGGGCATGGGGGGCATGTTGGGGTGCTAGTTGTATCCCCAACAGAAATGCTCAGAACAATGAAAACCTTAGACAGGGGGAAGAGCACAGGCAGGTGGGCATCTTGCTCGGCTGTAGCTTGGGGGGGGGGCAAAAGGGGGCAGCTTCACCGGCCCAAATGCTGCCCTCTTAGGAAAGCAGGATGAAAACTCCGAAAAACAACAAAGAAAAAAGGATCTGCCCTCTGCGGAGTAGACACAGGGTTACTATGCTCCCTCTCAATCAGGTTTGATTCCCCCCCCACCACCACCATCGCCGCCTCCCCTGCTCGTAGCTGCCTCTGAGTCCCTCATTCTTGGGAGTTAGCATTGCCGGCATCTCTTTCTCCTGACCCCCTCGTGCTGGAAAACTGTTGCCACCCAAGAGCTGTTTTAAGGTTAGGATATGTTTGAGGGGGATAACCAACTAATGCTTTGATTTTCTTCGGTTTCTACAAAGCTGGGTAGAATCTCTAAAAAACGTTATTTCCAGGGCTTTTTCTCGGAAGAGGCTGTGATGCGGAAGCTGCTTCTTGGTGGCTGATTTAGAAAGGTAACTAGCAAATGGTAGAAGAAGCTTGGGAGAGAAATGGAGGGGAAAGGAAGGGAAAAGTGAACAGAACTGCAGATGAGAAAAGGGAGAAAGAGGGAATGGGGGGGGGGGAAGAAAGAGGAAGGGATTCAGGATGGATGTTGGACTTGAGCAAGGCCTCAAACTGCAGAATTCAATGACACCGAAAGGGAAAATGTTGAAATATGAGAGGAGAAAAACTTGTTAATACTGTACTATAATTTTGTTAAACCGTAAAGGCCACGAAATAAAATTTGAGTTTCACCCTATCACACTCTCCCAAAGAGGGGATCAGTTTTCAGACCAGAAATTACACATCCCTCAACTAAAGCATTGCTAGTTTAACCATGGTTTCTGGAGCTGCTGCCCTTGGTGAAGCAATTCCAGTGGTTGGGTGGATGCAACACATGAAGCCAAAAGAAACTGGCTGATGTTGGAGCCCAAAGTCTATCTTGGACATGTAGGACTACCAGATGGAAGTTTTGGCCAAAGGATGCCATTAACCTCCCTTTGGGTAAATGGGGATCTCAACCCCCACCATGAGGTATTGCTGACCCCGATGAATATATTTACACCCTCCCTAAACTATAAAGGAATAATAGAAAGCCATTTTAGGAGGACCTCATGTTTAGTCTGTGGTGGCCACAGAACGATGTCCATGAATAACTACATAGGTTGTTCTCTGCATTAGAACTACCTGACATATAGAAAGTCTATGGGGCAGGGGTCTTTGCCGTGTTTTCTCACATCATAGAGCATCACACACAGACGACTGAGAAAAAACACAAGGCAGGCAAATAGGAAATAGCTGTGATAACGCAGTGGTTAGAATGCAGAATTGCAGGCTAACTCTGCCGACTGCCAGCAGTTCGATTCTCACTGCACAAGGTTGACTCAGCCTTACATCCTCCTGAGGTCAGTAAAAGGACCCAAATAGTTGGGGGGCAATATGCTGAGTCTGTAACCTGCTTGGAGAGGGCTGTAAAGCGGTATCTCTGTCTTAAGTGCTATTGCTATTCTGTCAGACATCATGAATCTTTCTCTCTTCTTTTCTTCTTTTTCCTTCATCCAGCACGGGACACCGGGAAAAGTGGACAAAGTTCCAGTTCTGAGATTTTTCTGCATTTAAAAAGCCCTGCACCTGAGAAGGCACCAGAAATTATGTTGGGTGGAGAAATACTAGGATAGAAGGTCCCCTCAGAGGAACCAGGAGAGACTCTTCAAGTGCTCTGAGGGCGAGATATCCTTTGCTCACAAATCCCTCCTTTTGATTAACCGGAAGCTGGACATGGGGAATGGATCCCATCTGTGTTTGAAGTGTGGAAACTCGTTTCGTGGTTGTGAAGCTTTGCCAAACATCTCCAGAGCCACCCCGGACTGAAGCCCTACAAATGGGGGAAGCATTTTGCTAAAGGCTGGGACCTCAGAGCTCCTTAGTGTATCCGCCAGGGAAAGAGACCTCAGGAAGGCCTCAGTGTTTTTCCAGGCCTCAGAACAGCCCAACTGAAGAGAAACCCTGCAATTGTGTGCAATGTGGGCTTTGCTTTTCTCAAAACTCAGAGATGCTTAAACATCAACAAATCCACATTGGACAAAAACCTTATCAATGTCTTTTGTTCGAAAAACAAGTCCCAAAATCCACGGGAAAATTCACATGGAAATAAAAACATATAAATGCTTAGACTGTGGAGAATGTTTTACTCGGAGTTCATCTCTTTGCAAACATACTAAAACACACAAACAAGAGGAAAGCAGAACGTGCCTAGAATGTGGGAAATGTTTTTCCAGCAAATCAGCCCTGCGGCGACATCAGAAAATCCACACTGGAGAAAAACCTTATCAATGTCTGGAGTGTGGGAAATGTTTTTCCATCAAACCAGCCCTGCAGCAACATCAGACAGTCCATACTGGGGAGAGACCCCATGAATGCCCTGAATGTGAGAAACGATTTGGGAGTTCTTCCAGACTTCGGAGTCACCAAAAGACACACACGAGAGAAAAACTCTATAAATGTAACGATTGTGAGAAATGTTTTGCTCTAAAGAGAAATCTTTTTCGACATCAGATAATCCACACAGGGGAGAAACCCTACCAGTGCATCGAGTGTGGAAAATTTTTTCGGACGATATCGCACCTCGGATATCATAAGAAAATTCACAGAGGAGAAAAAAAATACAAATGTTTAGACTGTGGAAAAGCATTTATTCATTCAAATCATCTTAGAAGTCACTGGCAAGTCCATACAGCAGAGAAGCCCCATAAATGCTCAGTGTGTGAGAAATCATTCATTCGGAAAGACAGACTTTTGATACATCAGAGGACCCACAGTGGAGAGAAACCGCATAAATGTCCGGAGTGTGGGAGATGTTTCTCCATGAGGTCACACCTAACTCGACATGAGCGACTTCACACCGGAGACAGGCCCTATCAATGCCCAGAATGCGACAAGCGATTTGTGGAGTCTTCTGAACTCCGGAGACACCAGAGGGGGCACACAGGAGAGAAGCCCTATAAATGTGGGGAGTGTGCGAAATGTTTTGTCACAGCAACACTGCTTCGGGTTCATGAGAGAATCCACACAGGGGAGAAGCCCTATAAGTGTGGGGAGTGTGCGAAATGTTTTTTCACAGCAACACTGCTTCGGGTTCATGAGAGAATCCACACAGGGGAGAAGCCGTATAAATGTTTGGAGTGTGGCAAATGCTTTTCCCGGAAAGAACACCTTGGACGTCATGAAAAAGTCCATCAAAGAATGAAGCCATAAAGATTCATAAAGTATAGAAATTTTGTTTTGCTCAAAAGGGAGATATCAGAAAAGTGACATGGGAAAAGGTCTAACAGGCCCTGATGATGGAACAGTTTTTCATAGTTGTTCAACCCTTAGAAGTCATGTAAGAGTTTCTAAAAAGATGGGGGGGGGGTTAGAAACTCTTAGATCCTGAGAGAGCATTTTTTATCAATCATCCCTTTAAAACCATACTCTAATCCATATAGTTAAGATGCAGCATAAATGTTTGGAGTGTGATGTATGTTTAGCCTGAAAGAATACTCTTTTTCAGCATCAGTGAATTCTTACTGAAGAGAAACTTTATCAGGGCTTAGGGTGTGGGAAAGGTTTTTATCTGACAATCAGGCCTTCAGATGCCTATGAAAATTCCACACAGGAGAAAAACCTTAACAAGCATGTAGCGTGAGAAAACCTTTCCTTCCCAATTGGAACATTTTGCCTCCTGGAGTTTGTCCATTTGAAATTGCCTCCTTGGAAATTTTCTTGCCAACTTAAAAACTTTATAATTTTTTTTTAAAAAAATTAATTTAAAACTTGGCCCCAGGGAAAGTCTCTCCGTTCCCCGGGTCCGACTTTCTTCTGTTTGTGGGCCCGTTTGGGCCGAATGCGGCTTCAGAGAGGTGCCCACTGAAGGGCGAACCTTTGAGGACCGCCGGTCTGTTGAAGTCAAAGCAGGCCCTGGAATCAGCAGAAGAAAGGCGGACCGCATTCATGCGATCCGCCATTAACAGCTGATCGTCGGGGACGGAGAAGCAGGGCAGATTGACAGCAAGCAGCTGAGCCGGGTGAGAATACGCTCTTTCTTCTTGATGAAGGTGGATTTTTTTTTCTTAAATAGCCTGCTTTTAGCCTGAGCAGGAAGCCTTTAGGGAGGGGGTGGAGTTTTTTCCTCCCTCCTGTATACAAACGGCAGTTTAAGCTCTCAACACACTAAACTGTGTTCAGCAGGTCAGCGGTTCAAATCTCACCGGCTCAAGGTTGACTCAGCCTTCCATCCTTCCGGGGTAGGTAAAATGAGGACCCAGATTGTTGGGGGGCAATGTAAAATATATATATATACATTGCTTACTGGTGTACACCGCTTAGAGAGTACTTGCACTTAAAGCGGTATATAAGTCTCATAAATAAATAAATAAAGCTCTCTAAGTCTTAATAGGAACCTGGGAAGCTTGCTTTTCAAGGACACCTTTTTTTCTTTCTGCTTTAATTCGGAGAGCCATTGTAATCATATTTGTTACTTTCAAAACTCTATGAGCTTTTTTTCCTTCACTCTGGACTGCCTTTTTTTTTTTTCTACCTAAGTGCTGGGAACACATTGAAAACTTTTTTTCTCTCTTCCTTTGTCTGGTGCTTATTCGGATTAGAAACTTGGCTCTGCGCTCAGATATTTGGCTGTATGCCCAGTCATCCTTATCTGACCTTGAAGCTTGTAGAACAGTGGTGGCGAACCTGTGGCACGGGTGCCAGAGGTGGCACTCAGAGCCCTCTCTGTGGGCACACGTGCCGTCGCCCCAGTCCTAGGCCTTCAGCTGGGTTTTATAAAACCTTTTCGCTTTAGGCCTCCGCCGCCATGTGCAAAAAAAAAAAAAAGGTTCAATCAGTCAATTTCAACTTCTCGCAGGAAAAGAAAAAGATCTTGCAAGGTTGGAATTGATTGATTGAACTTTTAAGTCCCAGCCAGTCTGCCATTACCACCGCAGCCACGCCCACCCAATGGGCCACACCCACCTGGCACTCGACAATGCATAAGTGGGTTTTGGGTTGCAGTTTGGGCACTTGGTCTCTCAAAGGTTCTCCATCCCTGTTGTAGAAGAAGGCTTTTTTCCTTTTTTTTCTTTGCTTTGGCCTGACTCTACAGCACAGACTATTCACTTTAGATATGTGATATTTTGAGTCATCTTTTCTCCTGGATTATAAACATTCTGCCAAGAAGAACTGAATATCAAGGAACTTTTTTTTCTCTCTTTCTCTTTCCCCCCCCCTTTTTCCCTGTCTTTGAGCAAAAGCTGGTGGATTATAAATTGGATATCTTCCTTTATAGTTTTTTCTTTTTGCTTATTTCTTTTTTTTCTTTTTTTTTTTTTTGAACCTTCTTGTGAATATTTCTTTTTATTGGGAGTTTTTTTTCTTTCCCTCCTACTTTTTTATTATTATTGATATTGTTCCTTTTTGCTTCTTTTTTCCTTTTTGATACTTGTTTGGCTTTTTTTCTCTCCTGGTTGGAATTATGTTTTTTTTTCTTTTTCATTTTTTTGGAGATTTCCCCTCCTAGCAATAGGAGCTTACTGGATTACAATTGACTATTGGGCCACCTAGTGGATTATAATATATCAACTTAAAGATGAGCGCTTCAAACTTGATTAAACTCGGGAGAAAAGGATCTTCTGCTCCTGCCTCGACTTCTGCGAGTCCAGTTTACTAAAAATCAATCACTACAGTGTTACAGCTAGAAAAAATGGACCCCCAACAAAAGGATTAACGAATCCAGGAAATATATGCAGGCAGTCCTCGACGCAGGGCCACAATTTCTGTTGTTAAGTGAGACATTTTTTAACTTAAGTTTTGCCCCATTTTACGACCTTTTTTCCCACAGTTGCTGAGTGAATCACTGCAGTTGATAAGTTAGTCACGCGGTTGTTAAGTGAATCTGTCTTCCCCCATTGACTTTGCTTGTCAGAAAGAAGGCTGCAAAAGGGGATCACGTGACCCTGGGACACAGCAACGGTCATAAGTATGAGCCGGTTGCCAAGCATCTGAATTCTGATCACATGACCACGGGGAGGCTGCAAAGGTCTTAACTGAAAAACGGTCATAAGTCAACTTTTTTTCAGTGCCGTTGTAATTTTGAACGGTCACTAAATGAACTAGTGTAAGTCAAGGACTCCCTGATGAAGCATAGAATATGTATCCTAGAGCGCAACGGATGGAAGCCCGGAAGTAAGAAGAGCTTTGCTTATAATTTTGTGGTAGTTTTAAAAGACCTTTTGGAAGAAACCATAATATTAATGTAAAAATTAACAGATTTTAGGGCATTAGCTGGTTTTAAAATCAGTGGCAAATGGACAAAGAAGTTGACCAAAATATGAAAATGGAAGACCAAAAAGAATTGATGGGAAAAAGCGATTTAAAAGAAATGAGACAAAAGTAGGACATTTGGGTATTCTTACAAAGAATACGAATTCTGTATCAAAATAATTATGATAAGGCACAGAATTAAATAAAGAAGGATGTGTTCAGATGGAAAAAATTACAATTGTTGTTGGGTACAATTTCTATAATTAAAAATGACTATATTACCTAGACTGATGTTTCTGTTTTAAACAATACCTATCTGAACAACACCACTAAAGAAATGGCAGGAAGATATAGCTAAGCTTATATGGCAGGAGAAAATCCAAGAGTTTAACTGAAAACTCTTCAACAGAAATAATAATAAGAAGAAGAAGGAGAAGAAGAAGCACCTGCAACATAACACCCCAGACTTAACAATTGTCGATAGGAAAGACAAAAAAGTCTGGATAGTGGACGTGGCAGTGCCTGGAGACAGCAGAATAGAGGAGAAAGAACTGGAGAAGATAACAAAATACAAAGACCTACAAATAGAAATAGAAAGACTATGGCAAAACAAGCAAGGGTAGTACCAATAGTAATAGGCTCCATGGGTGCAATCCCAAAACAACTGGAGCACCACTTGAACACCATTGGCATTGACAGATTCGCTATTAGTCAATTGCAAAAGGCGGCCTTACTAGGAACTGCTTCCATCCTGCGACGATACCTGTAATACCATCAAACATCCATATCTGCCTATCCCAGGTCCTGGGTAAGGACTCGATAGGTAGACAAAATGCCAAATTCAGTCTGAACATCTGGCTGACTGTGCGATGATCGATAATAATAATAATAAAGTTGGAAGGGACCTTGGAGGTCATCTAGTCCAACCCCCTGCTCAGGCAGGAAACCCTATACCATTTCAGACAAATGGCTGTCCAGTCTCTTCTTAAAAACTTCCAGTGTTGGAGCATTCAGAACTTCTGGAGGCAGGTCATTCCACTGATTAACTGTTCGAACTGTCAGGAAATTTCTCCTTAGTTCTAGGTTGTTCCTTTCTTTGGTTAGCTTCTTCAGGTGTTTTGAAGAACAGCTTGACTCCCTCTTCTTTGTGGCAGCCCCAGAGATATTGGAACACAGCTATCATGTCACTCCTGGTCCTTCTCTTCATTAAACTAGACAATTCCAGCAACTGTTCTTTACATGTTTTAGCCTCCAGTCCCTTAGTCATCTTTGTTGCTCTTCTCTGCACTCTTTCTAGAGGCTCAACATCTTCTTTACATCGTGGTGACCAATACTGGATGCAGTATTCCAAGTGTGTGTGTATGTAATGTATACATAAATTTCATCTGTATCCAGGTGGCAATTCGCACCTCTTTTTGTGGAAGGTTCCAGAAGTGGGAGGTCACCACCAAGAAGGCCCTGTGTGGTGGAAACAGCCATGAAAAAGGAGCTGCTTTCCAGCTTTAGCAGCAGTTCCCAAACAATTCATCAGAAAGCCAACACATCTGTGTCTGTCAGAGGTTTTCAACTTTGGCAACTTTCAGATGCGTGGACTTCAATTCCCAGCATGCTCCCTGGGTAATTCTGGGGATTTTAGTCCACACATCTTAAAAGTTACCAAGATTAAAAAAAAAACACTGGTTTCTATGAAGAGACTCTCCCCTTGCCCCACCTCCCCCACCCAATTCTTTCCAACTAATGGCTGGCTATGCTCCAGAAGGGCCTTTCCCAATCTGGTGTTCTGCAGATGTTGAGGCAGTCGAAGTCCCAAACATCTGGAGGACAGCAGCTGGGGCAAGGTGACAAGAGGGGGTCTCCTGGCTCTCATTGGACTGAGCTTCATAACTCCTGCTTTGGCTTCCGGTTCTTCCTTAAACCCGGGTGCTGCTCTAAATGCTCCTCATTGTTTTTGTATCTCAGAAAGAGAAATATTTCCGACTGCAGAGTAAATACAATTACATTCTACACAGAGCAGCTTAATGTTGTGATTCTTGGGTTGTGGGTCCAGGGATTGTCTTGCCACAAGCAGGCTTGCTAGCATTCACTCAATGGAATCCTCCAGAGGTGAGTTAGGCTGGGTTTCTACTCCCATAACGTCTTGCCGGATGGCCTTGAGGGGAGTTGTAATCCAGCAGCTCTGCAGCCCCCAGACAGGTGAGCTGCTCTGAAGGCATCTAAAGGTTACATTTGATAATGGGTGGGGCTTCGCAAGAGTTCAGATATGTTTAATATATATATTTAAAAGTTCAAATGTACTTCAGGGTCCAAAATCCGAATTAAGTGTCATGGGGGGACTAGGGAAGAAGAAGGGGTCTCCTCAGGGCCCTACAAACGGTTTATATGCCTCTGTGTAAAAATTGGGTGCCCCCGAGTTACAGGAAGCCCAGCCATGGTTCGAGTGTTTTTATCCTAGGGAGGCAAGCAAGAGCCCCTGTCCGATTCTGGGCAGAAGGGAGGTAAAGGGCCGAGCGGGGCAGGCCCGCCTGGGCACTGCAGGGCACTCTTCGCATGGGCAGAGGAACCCCAGACCCGGATGTCCAACGGAGGGACGGAGTACCGACTGGGAAGCGGGGAAGGGGGGAAGAAGTGGAGGCCAAGGGGCAGGACTGAAAGGCTGAGGCGGAGCCCGAGAGGAGAGCAGAAGCAGCGTTCCTGGAGCCCATCCTCCACAGCCATCTGAGCCTTGCCAGGTGCCGTATGGGGAATCCCTCGTCCGAGTCCCCCCCCCCCAAACTTCGACCGGAAGCAGGGAGCGAGGATGCCCGGCCGCCTCTTCCCAATCCCAGGGAGGAGAGAGGGAAGGAAAGGCTCAAGGACTCTCCAGACTCCACCCGGCTGTCAAAGAGGCGGATCGCCCGGCGTCCTCTGAGGGGGAAGCGTCGCTTTCCGGGTCCCGAAACTCCGGAGAAACCAGAACGCCCACTCTCCCGTCGGACAGGAAATGGAACCGGAAAAGGAGAGGAGACGACTCCGAGGTGCCTCTCTAGGAAGATCCTCTCGTTCTCCCTAATCCCCCCCCCCCCATTTTTGACGTTCCAGAGCTCCGTTGCGGAGGATTTTCCTTCTCCGCCTTTTTCCCCCCTGGCGGCATTTTGGGCGGCGGTGCAACTTCTGGGCGTCCGGCAAGGCTGCTCCTCGGCCCCGCTCCGGGCAGGTGGGGCTGCTCCTGCTCTCCCTCGGCCGGCCAGGAGGAAGGTAGCCCCGAGTCCCCCCCGGATCCCCGGAGGGTGGCTGAGCCTGCCAGGATCCCGGGTGGATGCAGGGCTGGACGGGGAAAAGGGGGGGCTCGCCCCACGGAGGGAAAGGGGGGCTTTTCTTTTTAAGGATTTGGGGGGGGGGAATATGGGGCAATGGAAAGAAAGACCCACCTTCTCCCTTCAGTTGGGGGGAGTTTGGTTTAAGGGGGGGAGTTTAAATTGCTCGAATTGAGCTCATGTTCTCCCAACCCAGAAAAGATCCACTTTCTTTCTGCTTAATCTAAATAGAGAGGAATGAATATTCTTTGCTTTTATTCTCATTCTTTGTTTTTATTTTGTTTCTACAAAGCTGGGCAGAATCTGAAAAAAATCATTACTTTCCTTGTTTTGCCGTGAAGAGGCTGTGATGTTGCAGCCCCTTGGTGGATTTTTCAATCAGAACAGAGCTGGAAGGGACCTTGGAGGTCGTCTAGTCCAACCCCTTGCTCAAGCAGGAGACCCTATACCATTCCAGACAGGTGGCTGTCCAGTCTCTTCTCCAAAGCCTCCAGTGATGGAGAACCCACAACCTCTGAAGGAAAACTGTTCCACAGGTTAATTGTCTTCACTGTTAGGAAGTTTCTGCTTAGTTCCAGGTCGCCTAGCAAGGTGTCAAAAACTTGACCAAAAAAAAACGAAAGTGATAAAATACAGGTAGTCCTCAAGTTATAACAGTTTCCTTTTTTTGCTGTTTTTTCCCTTTGTGTAAAGACAGATGCAAAAAATGAGTTAAATAGTTCTGCTTTCTCCCTGTTGCTTATCACCTTCTTGCCACTTTCATCCACTAATGGACCAATCATTTCCTTCACTTTTTTCTTGTTTTTTTACACGTTGAAAGAAGCTTTTTTTATTACTTTTGACTTTGGTCGCAAGCCTTAGTTCATTTTGAGCCTTAGCTTTCTTCACTTCATCTTTGCAGGTTCAGGCTATTTGCTGATATTCTGACTTAGTTATGTGTCCCTCTTTCCACTTTCTATACTTGTCCTTTTTATCTTTCAATTTATCAGAGTTCTTTATGCAGCCATGCTGGTTTCTTTTTTCAGAGCTGTTATTTTTCCTCTTTGTTGGTATTGTGCTAGACTGGGCTGTTATTATTTCACTTTTCAAAATTTCCCAAGTTACTTTAGTTGTTTTCCCCTCGAGGATTCTCATCCATGGGAACTACATCAGCTCTTTTCCAGTCCTCCGGTAGTTCCCCTGTGCTCCAGGATCTTTGAAAAATATAGTTCAGTGGTTCTGAGATCACATCTGCCAATTACTTGAGAACCTTGGGGTGTAATCCATCTGGTCCTGGCAATTTGAACTTGTCTAGCCTGGATGGGTGCTCACTTACCATTTTCTTGCCTATCTTAACTTGTGTTTCTATTCTGTTTTTTATGGCACTATTTTTGGTAGGTTGGTCTGTTTTTTCCCTTTGTGTAAAGACAGATGCAAAAAACGAGTTAAATAGTTCTGCTTTCTCCCTGTTGCTTGTCACCTTCTTGCCACTTTCACCCACTAATGGACCAATCATTTCCTTCACTTTTTTCTTGTTTTTTACATGTTGAAAGAAGCTTTTTTGTTATGTTTGACTTTGGTCGCAAGCCTTAGTTCATTTTGAGCCTTAGCTTTCCTCACTTCATCTTTGCAGGCTCGGGCTATTTGCTGATATTCTGACTTAGTTATGTTCCCCTCTTTGCACTTTCTATACTTGTCCTTTTTATCTTTCAATTTATCAGAGAGTTCTTTATGCAGCTATGCTGGTTTCTTTTGAGAGCTGTTATTTTTCCTCTTTGTTGGTATTGTGCTGGACTGGGCTTTTATTATCTCACTTTCAAAATTTCCCAAGCTTCTTGAGCTGTTTTCCCCTGGAGGATTTTCATCCATGGAATTCTTTCCAAACCTTCTCTAAGTTTATTGAAATTAGCTCTCTTGAAGTCCAAAACTCTAGTTTGACTGTGTTCTATTGCTTGTGCTTCCATAATGTTGAATTCCAATATTGCATGATCACTTCCACCCAAGGTTCCTATGGCTTCAGCACCTTCTATCATTTCATCTCTGTTAGTGAGAATTAGATCCAAAATGGCTAATCCCCTAGTTCCTTTCTCTATTTTTGGGGAGACAAAGTTGTCTGCTAGGTTTGCAAGGAATCTGGTTGATCTTCCACTTGATGCAGAGTTTGACTCCCAGTTGATGTCAGGATAGTTAAAGTCCCCCATTATTATTGTGATGTGCTTCCTACATACCTTAGTTAGTTGACTAGCAAAAAGTTCATCTATTTCCTCTGTTTGGCTGAGTGGCCTGTAATATACACCTATGGCTATGTCATTTCCCCCCCCTTTTATACTGACTCAAATGCATTCAAGAGAGTTTTCATCATTGTTGCGCTCTATTTCTGTAGAGATGTAGTTATTTCTTATATAGAGAGCAACTCCACCTCCTCTTTTATTTGGTCTGTTTCTTTTAAATAATTTAAATCCCTCTAGCTGTTTGTTCCATTTGTGGGTTTCATCCCACCATGTTTCCGTAATGGCAACAATATCATATCTGCCCTCATTAACCTGAATTTCTAGTTCACCCTGTTTGCTGTTCATACTCTGTGCATTGGTGTATAAACATTTGAGTCCTTTGTGAGTGGCCCTGTGTTTACTTTCTACATAACCTGTGTGGTGCCTGAGTTCCCCTATTGTCACTAATCACCTATTTGGTTAGTGCACTTTGTGTGGCACTCGCTATTAGAAGCTTGATTTTGCTTGACAGCAAGGTTGATATTCTTGTCCACACAAACATCTATGTTACATGCACTGACAGCCCTATAATTTTTAGATTGCCGGGTACAGGCATGTTCTGTATCAATTAACTCACTGGCCTTGCTGTTTAGTTTAAATGTTCTTCCAGAAAATCTGTGAATTTATAGCCGAGTAACTCAGTCCCTTTCTTTGATGGATACAAACCATCTCTTTTGTACATTTTTTCATTGGACCAGCTACAGACATTGTGACTAATATATCCAAAGCCTTCCCCTTTATACCATTCCTTTAGCCACATATTGAATTGTGCTATACGCCAGCCTTTTCCATTTTGCTCCTTATACACTGGTAAAACCTCTGAAAAAGTAAGCCTACAGCCTATCCTGCTAAGTTCCTGCCCCAAGCTCTGGAAATCATTCTGCACAGAGAGTACATCTTTTTGGGACAGATTGTTAGTGCCAAGATGTACAATAGCCTCCACATCACAGTCCTTGCTGCCATTCTTGATTATTTTAGAAATACGCTTCTTGTCCCTACTGGGAGTAGCATCTGGAAGACACCTGACCTGTTTTGAAATCTCTGTGTTCTTTCCTAAATTTACATCCCTTATAAGGTGGCTTCTCTTTTTGGATGCCTTGCTCTTCTTGCATGACTGATGTGTAATACCTGATTCGTACTTCTCCCTGTCAAAAACAAGGTCTTCATCTCAGACCATGATCCCCTGCTCATTTGAGTTATCATCACAAATACCTTTACCTGTCTCCTTGATGTCCCTATTAAGGTCAGCAAGGACATTGTATCTGTTGTGCAGGGACACAGCAAAAGCTTTGTGTTTATGGTTCACAGCTCTCACCCTGCCAGATCCCACAGTTGTCCACACTGCCCTTCTCCTGCGAGATCTTTGTGGTAGAGAGGGCTGATAGCACGGAGGCCCAATAGAGTAGTGGGGCTGAACTGGACCTTTAATTTTTGCCTGAAGAGCACAGATTACAGACCCTAGATAATTAATCTGTCCTTGTAGACTAGTGATTTGTTTACAGATAGGACAGTTTCCAAGTTTGAAAAGGGTACTGCAAAAGACAGCTGCAAAACAAGTGTTTCACTAAACTACACCAGACATTCTTAGATACAGGGAATCTCAGACGCACTTGCCTGGAATGTACCGCTGCTCCCAAGACTTGTAGCACTTGTAATTTGTAGCACTTCTCAGCAGCTCTGGGCAGTTTAAATGCAGTTGAAATACAATGGAGATCCAATCAGGGCCTTAGCTACTTATCTGATCCAGCCTCCCAAGACTTACAGTTTGTAGCACTTCCCAGCAGCTCTGGGCAGTTTAAATGCAGTTTAAATACAATGGAGATCCAATCAGGGCCTTAGCTACTTTGTCTTAAGTGATATTGCTTTCTGTCAGCCATTGTGAATCTTTCTCTCTTCTTCTTTTTCCTTCATCCAGCAGGTGGCACCAGGAAAAGTGGACAAAGTTCCAGTTCTGAGATTTTTCTGCATTTACAAAGCCCTGCAACTGAGAAGGCGCCGGAAATTATGCTGGCTGGAGAAATACTTTGATAGGAGGTCCCCTCAGAGGAACCAGGAGAGACTCTTTAAGTGCTCTGAGGGCGGGATATCCTTTGCTCACAAATCCCTCCTTTTGATTAACCGGAAGCTGGACATGAGGAATGGATCCCATCTGTGTTTGAAGTGTGGGAACTCATTTCGTGGTTGTGAAGCTTTGCCAAACATCTCCAGAGCCACCCCAGACTGAAGCCCTACAAATGTGGAGAATGTGGGAAGCATTTTGCTAAAGGCTGGGACCTCAGAGCTCCTTAGCGTATCCACCAGGGAAAGAGACTTCAGGAAGGCCTCAGTGTTTTTCCAGGCCTCAGAACAGCCCAACTGAAGAGAAACCCTGCAATTGTGTGCAATGTGGGCTTTGCTTTTCTCAAAACTCAGAGATGCTTAAACATCAACAAATCCACACTGGACAAAAACTTTATCAATGTCTGGAGTGTGGGAAATCTTTTGTTCGAAAAACAAGTCTCAAAATCCACGGGAAAATTCACATGGAAATAAAACCTTATAAATGCTTCGAGTGTGGAGAATGTTTCACTCGAAGTTCATCTCTTTGCAAACATCATCAAACACACACAGAGGAGGAAAGCAGAACGTGCCTAGAATGTGGGAAATGTTTTTCCAGCAAATCATCCCTGCAACGACATCAGAAGGTCCACACTGGGAAAAGACCTCATGAATGCCGAAAATGTGAGAAACGATTTGAGACTTCTTCCACACTTCGGAGACACCTAAAGACGCACATGGGAGAGAAACTCTATAAATGTGAGGTTTGTGAGAAATGTTTTTCTCTAAAGGGTAATCTTTTTCGACATCAGATAATCCACACAGGGGAGAAACCCTATCAGTGCATCGAGTGTGGAAAATTTTTTCGTACAATATCAAACCTCGGACATCATAAGAAAATTCACAGAGGGGAAAAAAAGTACAAATGTTTAGACTGTGGGAAAGCATTTATTCATTCAAATCACCTTAGAAGTCACTGGCAAGTCCATATAGGAGAGAAGCCCCATAAATGCTCAGAGTGCGATAAATGTTTTTATCAGAAAAATAGACTTTTGATACATCAGAGGACCCACAGTGGAGAGAAACCATATAAATGTCCGGAGTGTGGGAAGTCTTTTTCTTGCCAAGAATATCTTAGAAAACACGAGACGATTCACACAGAAAAAAAACGTATCAGGTCTGTGCAGAAAAATGAAATGTGCTCAGAATGTGGGAGATGTTTCTCCCAAAGGTCACACCTAACTCGACATGAGAGACTTCACACTGGAGACAGGCCCTATCAATGCCCAGAATGCGACAAGCGATTTGTGGAGTCTGCTGAACTCCGGAGACACCAGAAGGGGCACACAGGAGAGAAGCCCTATAAATGTGGGGAGTGTGCGAAAGGTTTCCTCACAGCAACACTGCTTCGGGTTCATGGGAGAATCCACACAGGGGAGAAGCCATACAAATGTATGGAGTGTGGGAAATGCTTTTCCCAAAAACAACACCTTAGACGTCATGAAAAGGTCCATACAAGAGTGAAGCCATAAAGACTCATAGAGTGTAGAAATGTTTTGTTTAGAAGGGAAATATCATAAAGCTCACATGGGAGAAGGTGAGTTTTTCATAGTTGTTCAACTTTTAGAAATCATGAAAGAATTCCTGAAAAGGGGGGGGGGAATGGGAAAGATGTATCATAAATGTTTGCACTGTGATGTATAGTTTGCCTGAAAGAATACTCTTTTTCAGCATCAGTGAATTCTTACTGGCGAAAAACTTTATCAGAGCTTAGAATATGGCAAGGTTTTTAATCTGATAATCAGATCTTCAGATGTACATGAAAAATCCACACAGCAGAAAAACCGTGACAAGTGTGTAGTGTGAGAAACATTTTCCTTGCCAATTGGAATATCTTGCCTCTTGGAGTTTGTCCATTTGAAATTGGAAATTTCCTTGGAAATTTTCTTGCCAACGTAAATATTTTATATTTTTTTACAAAAAATTAATTTTAAAATGTGAAAATGAACGTCTAATATAATAATAATGTTGGAAGAGACCTTGGAGGTCATCTAGTCCAACCCCCTGCTCAGGTAGGAAACCCTATACCATTTTGGACAAATGACTTTCCAGTCTCTTCTTAAAAACTTCCAGTGTTGGAGCATTCACCGCTTCTGGAGGCAGGTTGTTCCACTGGTTAATTGGTCTAACTGTCAGGAAGTTTCTCCTTAGTTCTAGGTTGTTTCTCTCCTTGATTAGTTTCCATCCGTTGCTTCTTGTCCTGCCTTCATGCGCTTTAGAAAATAGCTTGACTCCCTCTCCTTTGTGGCAACCCCTGAGATACTGGAACACTGCTATCATGTCCCCCCTCGTCCTTCTCTTCATTAAACTAGACATACCCAATTCCAGCAGCCGTTCCTTATATATTTTAGCCTCCAGTCCCCTAATCATCTTTGTTGCTCTTCTCTGTACGCTTTCTAGAGTCTCAGCATCTTTTTTACATTGTGGTGACCAAAACTGGATGCAATATTCCAAGTGTGGCCTTACCAAGGCATTGTAAAGTGATATTAATACTTCACGTGATCTTGATTCTATCCCTCTGTTAATGCAGCCTAATACTGTGTTGGCTTTTTTGGCAGCTGCAACACACGGCTGGCTCATATTTAAGTGATTGTCCACTAGGACTCTGAGATCCCTCTCACAGTTAATACTATTGAGCAAGGTACCCCCTATACTATACCTGTACATTTTGTTTCTCTTACCTAAATGTAGAACCTTACTCTTTTCACCATTGAATTTCATTTTGTTAGTTAGTGCCCAGTGTTCAAGTTTGTCCAGATCCTTGTGTATCTTAAGCCTGTGTTCTGGAGTGTTGGCTATTCCTGTCAGCTTGGTGTCGTCTGCAAATTTAATTATTTCCCCATCTATCCCCTTGTCCAAATAGTTAATGAAGATGTTGAAGAGCACTGGGCCCAGAACAGAGCCCTTGGGTACCCCACTACATACTTCCCTCCATGTAGATGTGGTTCCATTGAGGACCACACACTGAGTATGGCCAGTCAGCCAGCTACGGATCCATCTGGTGGTGATACTGTCTAACCCACATTTTTCTATCTTATCAAGTAGTAGATTGTGATCTACTTTATCAAATGCCTTACTAAAGTCCAAGTAAATTATATCCACAGCATTTCTCTGATCCACTAATTTTGTCACTTGGTCAAAGAATGCAGTAAGATTTGTCTGGCATTTATTTGTTTTTGACAAACCCATATTGGCTTTTAGTAATGACTTTGGTTGCCTCTAGGTACTCACTGATTTGTTGTTTGATTATCTTTTCCAGAATCTTCCCAGGTATTGAGGTCAGGCTGATAGATCTGTAATTTACTGGGTCCATTTTTTTTCCTTTTTTGAAGGTGGGAACTACATCAGCTCTTTTCCAGTCCTCTGGTAGTTCCCCAGTGCTCCAGGATCTTTGAAAAATATAGTTCAGTGGTTCTGTGATTACATCTGCCAGTTCCTTGAGAACCTTGGGGTGTAATCCATCTGGTCTTGGTGATTTGAACATGTCTAGGCTGGACAGGTGTTCACTTACCATTTTCTTGCCTATCTTAACGTGTTTCTATTCTGTTTTTTATGGCACTATTTTTGATAGGTTGGTCTGTTTTTTCCCTTTGTGTAAAGACAGATGCAAAAAACGTGTTAAATAATTCTGCTTTCTCCCTGTTGCTTGTCACCTTCTTGCCACTTTCACCCACTAATGGACCAATCATTTCCTTCACTTTTTTCTTGTTTTTTACATGTTGAAAGAAGCTTTTTTTGTTATTTTTGACTTTGGTCGCAGTCCTCAGTTCATTTTGAGCCTTAAGCTTTCCTCCATCTTTGCAGGTTCGGCCTATTTGCCGATATTCTGCCTTAGTTATGTGCCCCTCTTTCCACTTTCTATACTTGTCCTTTTTATCTTTCAATTTATCAGAGAGTTCTTTATGCAGCCATGCTGGTTTCTTTTGAGAGCTGTTATTTTTCCTCTTTGTTGGTATTGTGCTAGACTGGGCTTTTATTATCTCACTTTTCAAAATTTCCCAAGCTTCTTGAGTTGTCTTCCCCTTGAGGATTCTCACCCATGGAATCCTTCTCAAACCCTCTCTAAGTTTATTGAAATTAGCTCTCTTAAAGTCCAAGTGTGAGTGTGAAAATCTAAAATCTAATGTGAAATTCTCCCGAATCATATAAGGACTCCTGCTTATAGACTAGAAAACTACAACTCTTGTTATTCTGTTATAGGTCCCTTGTAGCTCTGTGATTCTAAGAATTTAAAAAGAAAAAAGGAAAGAGACAGTGAAAAAGTGGCGGGGGGGGTGCAGACAAAAAAGGGGGAAAAGCTAAAGGCTCTGCTAAGATCTTGGCAGCTACTACCAAAAGTCTCTTTTCAGTTGGGCAGGATTAACAAATCCAGGAAATATATACAGGCAGTCCTCAACTTATTTTACGACCTTTTTTGCCAGTTGCTGAGTGAATCAGTGCAGTTGATAAGTTAGTCACACAGTTGTTAAGTGAACCTGGCTTCCCCCATTGACTTTGCTTGTCAGAAAGAAGGCTGCAAAAGGGGATCACGTGACCCTGGGACACAGCAACGGTCATAAATAGGAGCCATTTGCCAAGTATCTGAGTTTTGATCACATGACCATGGGGAAAAGGATGTAAATGAAAAACGGTCATAAATCAACTTTTTTTCAATGCCGTTGTAACTTTGAACGGTCACTAAATGAACTAGTGTAAGTCAAGGACTCCCTGTAGAAGCATAGAATATGTATCCTAAAGCACAGCGGATGGAAGCCCAGAAGTAAGAAGGGCTTTGATTATAATTTTGTGGTAATTTTAAAAGACCTTTTGGAAGAAACCATAATATTAACGGAAACATTGACTGATTTTAAGGCATTAGCTGATTTTAAAATCAGTGGCGAATAGACAAAGAAGTTGTGCAAAATATGAAAATGGAAGACCCCAAAGAATTGATGGGAAAAGCGATTTAAAAGAAAAGTAAGACATTTGGGTATTCTTATAAAGAATACGAATTCTATGTCAAAATAATTATGACAAGGAATGGAATGACATCAAGAAGTATTTGTTAAGATGGAAAAAAATTACAATTGCTATTGTGTAGAATTTCTGTAATTAAAAATGACTATATTATCTAGACTGATGTTTCTGTTTTAAACAATGCCTATCTGGACAACGGGTGCACCACTAAAGAAATGGCAGGAAGATATAGCTAAGCTTATATGGCAGGAGAAAAACCAAAAGTTTAGTTGGAAAGCGAGTTCTTGGTAATAATAATAATAATAATAATAATAATAATAATAATAATAATAATAATAATAATAATAATAATAATAATCCCCCAGTGAGGCACTACCTTGACGTGGTTGTGGGGCTTGTGTACTCTGAGGAAGATGAGAGCTATGCCAGAGGTTCAACCATACTGGACAGGTCTCATCAGAGGAGTCAGACAAAGAGTGTCTCTCCCATAAAAAATATGGTGAGACGTAAATTTCAGAATGCCATACCGGCTCGGACGTCGCCCGGGTTAACAAGGTCCGCACTAGATATTGGAGTTCCTGGATATCTGGTGAAAAATGGGTTACAGGACTCAGGACTGTTGGCTGAGCAACCAGGGCCAGCAGCTGCAGAACTACTGGAAGAAAAGGTGTTTACCCGTCGCAGATACACAGTGATGGAAAACAAAGAAATAATGATCTGTTACTACAGATCAAGTCCAACAAGACGAGGATATCTAAAACGAATGCACCAGTTCTGGAAAGAACAACATCCAGAATCAGAAATAACAGAACAGAGACTAGCAGATCAACGCCGATTTATAACACGAAATAAAGTATTTACAGAAACAGAATTGGACGAACTGCAAAGGTTTACCCAGGGCAAAGAAATCAAAGCCTTACCAGAAGTAATTCAGAATGTAGAGGCAAACCAGGGGGAGTTGGCAGTGAAAGAATCCAGTAGAGATATACAACTGTTCTCATTTGGAAACCAGGCGCCTATTCCTCAGGAAGAACAAAACCTTCTAACTAAAGAAATAAAAGAATTGAAACAAAGAATAACTGAGCATCTAGAACAGCACAAAAACAACAGAATAAGGCTGCCTGCATTGAAGCTTGTTTCAAAGAAACAGCTAGCACAAGCATTAAAAGATGCAAATACTGCAATAGCAAGTATAAGCACCAATTCACTGCAAGAAACAAACCAACTAATGTACAGCACAGCTGCAGTTATAACTGAATACCTGGGATGCAAAATCAACAAAGAAGAAAAACAAACAAACAATGCACCACAAAAATGGAAGGTTAGACTAGAAAATAAGATCAGCAAGTTAAGATCACATGCAAGCAAGCTAGAACAGATGAAAGAAAAGAAGCTGAAGAACAAGAAGACCAAAGAATACCTAATCAAGAAATACCACTTAGAAACAAGGAAGATCAAGGAAGCATTGGAAATAATAAAGCAACAAATAACAGCTATAGCCAGGAAAATCAGTAGATATGAAGCTCGAATTGCAAACTATAGGCAGAACCTCCAATTTCAATCCAATCAGAAACGTTTCTACCAATCCATCAATGGAGAAACTGCAAGGAATCAGTCAGTACCTGACAAGGAAGAAACAGTGCAGTTCTGGAAGCAGATATGGGATAACCCAAAGAAATACAACAAGGATGCGGCTTGGTTAAAAGAGGTGGATGCAAATAAAACAGAAGTTGAAATGAAAGAACTAGTAATAACAACAAAAATGGTAGAAAAAAGAGCAAAGAAAATCAAAAATTGGTCAGCACCAGGTGAAGATGAACTGCATGGGTTTTGGTTGAAACATCTAACTGTTATACACCCACTCATTGCCAAGCAGTTCAACAATATACTACAAGGAGGAGAAATTGAAAAGTGGCTAACAACTGGGAAAACCTACCTAATAATGAAAAATCCAGCAAAAGGGGCAACACCAGGTAACTACAGGCCAATTACCTGCTTACCAACAACTTTCAAATTACTAACTGGTGTGGTAGCTGATGCAGTACAACAGCATCTAGTTGAAAACAATCTCTTTCCACCTGAGCAGAAAGGAAACCGCCCCAATAGCAGAGGAACAAAAGATCAACTCCTAATAGACAAAATGATCTTGGAAAACTGCAAGAGAAGGAAGACCAACCTGAATGTGGCATGGATTGACTACAAAAAGGCATTTGACTCTCTGCCACATGATTGGATAATAAAGTGCCTAGAAATAACAGGAGTCAGTAGAAACATCAGAAAATTTGTGCAAAGATCGATGGCACAATGGAAGACACAGTTGCAGATCAATGGTGAGAGCTGGGAGAGGTTAATATCAAGAGAGGAATATTTCAAGGAGATTCATTATCACCATTACTATTTGTTATTGCACTGTTTCCTCTGTCAACAATACTGAATAACTCAGGACATGGCTATCAAACATCAAAAACATCTGCTAGACTATCCCACCTCCTTTACATGGATGATCTGAAGCTGTATGGAAAAACATCATCTGAAATAGAATCGCTGCTCAACACTGTCCGTATATATAGCCAAGATATTGTAATGGAGTTTGGCTTGGACAAATGTGCCACACTTACTATCAAACAAGGAAAAATATGAAAACTGAAGGAATCAAGATGCCCCACGAAAATAACATTAAGAGTCTGGATGAGGAAGAGTACTACAAATACTTGGGTATCCTTCAAGCTGACAACATCAATCACACTGAAGTCAAGAAAAAGATTAGAGGTGAATACATCAAGAGAGTGAAGAAGATCTTAAAGTCCAAACTCAATGGAGGAAATACCATAAAGGCAATCAACACCTGGGCAATCCCAGTCATTAGGTACACAGCTGGAATAGTGGACTGGACTCAAGCAGAACTAAAAGCAATGGATAGGCAGACCAGAAAAATAATGACAATGAATCATGCCCTTCATCCACGCAGTGACATTGATAGACTTTATCTACCAAGGCAAATAGGTGGGCGTGGAATGCTACAAGTACATCAGATGGTTGAAGAAGAAAAAATGGCTTTGGAAGAATATCTGAAGAACAATGATGAAGATGCACTGAAATTAGTATATCAGGAAGGCTTACTAACTACTGGAGAGACCAAACTGGCCTACAAGAAAGACCAAATGAAGAACAGAATAGAGGCATGGGAAGACAAAGCACTACATGGCCAATACATGAAAAAAATAGCTGGGAAAGCAGATAATAATAAAACCTGGCAATGGCTAAGAGCAGGAAAATTGAAGAAAGAGACCGAGGGACTAATTCTGGCTGCACAAGACCAAGCCTTAAGGACAAATACATACAAAGTCAAAATTGAGAAGACAGCAACAGACAGTAAGTGCCGCCTATGCAAAGAAGCTGAAGAAACAGTGGACCACTGGTAAGCTGTTGCAAGAAGATTGCACAGACTGATTACAAGCAGCGGCATGACAAAGTAGCAACAATGGTGCATTGGAAGATCTGCAAAAAATATCATTTGCCTGTAAGCAAAAACTGGTGGGATCATAAAATAGAGAAAGTCATAGAAAATGATAAAATTAAACTGCTCTGGGACTTCAGAATTCAAACAGACAAGCACCTGCAACATAACACCCCAGACTTAACAATTGTCGATAAGAAAGACAAAAAAGTCTGGATAGTGGACGTGGCAGTGCCTGGAGACAGCAGAATAGAAGAGAAAGAACTGGAGAAGATAACAAAATACAAAGACCTACAAATAGAAATAGAAAGACTGTGGCAAAAGCAAGCAAGGGTAGTACCAATAGTCATAGGCGCCTTGGGTGCAATCCCAAAACAACTGGAGCACCACTTGAACACCATTGGCATTGACAAATTTGCTATTAGTCAATTGCAAAAGGCGGCCTTACTAGGAACTGCTTCCATCCTGCGACGATATCTGTAATACCATCAAACATCCACATCTGCCTATCCCAGGTCCTGGGTAAGGACTCGATAGGTAGACAAAATGCCAAATCCAGTCTGAACATCTGGCTGACTGTGCGATGATCCATAATAATAATAATAATAATAATAATGTTGGAAGGGAGCTTGGAGGTCATTTAGTCCAACCCCCTTCTCAGGTAGAAAACCCTACAGTATCTCTTGCATGGACAGGGGGTTGAGCTAGATAGAAGACCTCCAAGCTCCTTTCCAACTTTGTTATTCTGTAAAGCTTGCTCATTTGTGGCTTGGAAACGTGTAGAAACCCACCACAGTCAGCAAACCATGATGAAAGGAAAGCTTATGGGATGCTGTCTGAACTGCACAATAGGGAAAAGGCTAACCTATTTTCTAAAGCAGGCAAATGACGGTTCCACACAAGCCCTGATCAGGGAGTGTAACGTGGCTCCCTCTGGTTACTGTTTGCAGCTCCCAGGGAGACCTGCCAGCGAGCCCTGGACGAAGGGCTGGGCTGACTTCCAGGACTAGGAGTAAACTATGATTAAGCCACGATTAAGGCCGGTCTCCATCATCACCGCAGCCTCTTTGGACTCGGCAGAACCACCGTCTCGCCTGCCTCCCTACTACGAAGCCCATCCTCCACAGCCATCTCAGCCTTGCCAGGTGCCGGATAGGGGATCCCTCCTCCGAGTCCCTCCCCCCCAAACTCTCTCTCTCCTGCAGGGCCGCCTGTTGCCAATCCCGGGCAGGAGAGAGAGAGAGGGAGGGAGGAAAAGGCTCCGGGCCTCTCCAGACTGCGCCCGGCTGTCAAAGAGGCGACTCGCCCAGCGTCCTCCGAGGTCCTCTCTAGGACGTTCCTCTCGTTCTCCCAACCTCCCCTCAGCATCTGACGTTTCAAACCTCCGTTGCGGAGGATTTTCCTTCTCCGCCTTTTTCCCCCCTGGCGGCATTTTGGGCGGCGGTGCAACTTCTGGGCGTCCGGCAAGGCTGCTCCCCGGCCCCGCTCCGGGCAGGTGGGGCTGCTCCTGCTCTCCCTCGGCCGGCCAGGAGGAAGGTAGCCCCGAGTCCCCCCCGGGTCCCCGGAGGGTGGCTGAGCCTGCCAGGATCCCGGGTGGATGCAGGGCTGGACGGGGAAAAGGGGGGGCTCGCCCCACGGAGGGAAAGGGGGGCTTTGCTTTTGAAGGATTTGTGGGGGGGGGGAAATATGGGGCGATGGAAAGAAAGACCCGCCTTCTCTCTTCAATGGGGGGGGAGGTTGGTTTAAGGGGGGGAGTTTAAAGTCCTTGAATTGAGCTCATGGTCTACCAACCCAGAAAAGATCCACTTTCTTTCTGCTTAATCTAAATAGAGAGGAATGAATATTCTTTGCTTTTATTCTCATTCTTTTTCTTTTCTTTCTACAAAGCTGGGCATAAACTGAAAAAAATCATTATTTTCCTTGTTTTGCCATGAAGAGGCTGTGAGGTGGCAGCCCCTTGGTGGGTTTTATGAATCAGAATAGAGCTGGAAGGAATCTTGGAGGTCTTCTAGTCCTTCCTCAAGCAGGAGATCCTATAGGATCTCTTGCCTGGTCAGGGGGTTGAGCTAGACTAGAAGATCTGCAAGCTCAACTGTTATTCTGTTATTCTGTAAAGCTTGCTCATTTGTGGCTTGAAAATTTATACAAACGCACCAGTTACCCCACGGTGAGCAAACCATGATCAAAGCAAAGCTTATGGGATGGCGTTTCCTAATGCTCTGAGATGCAGAATAGGGAAAAATGTAGACTTAGGTACTAAAGCAGCCAAATCACCGTCCCATACAACCCATGATCCCGACATACAACGTGGCTCCATCTGTCCCGACCCACAGGTTGAAAACCGCTGGATTAGACACTTGTCTAGAATAGTATAGGATCTCTTGCCTGGGCAGGGGGTTGAGCTAGAGTAGAAGATCTCCAAGCTTAACTATTATTCTATATTCTGTTATTCTGTAAAGCTTGCTCATTTGTGGCTTGGAAAATTATCCAAACCCACCAGTTACCCCACGGTGAGCAATGATCAAAGCAAAGCAGGGCTGGGAGTAAACTATGATTAAGCCATGATTAAGGCCGGTCTCTCTCCCTGGGGGAGCCACGCCCGGATCCATCATCGCCTCTTTGGAACCGGCAGAACCTCCGCCTCGCCCACCTCCCTACGCAACCCATCCTCCACAGCCATCTCAGCCTTGCCAGGTGCCGGAAGGGGGATCCCTCGTCCGAGTCCCCCCCAAACTTCGGGGGGAAGCAGGGAGAGAGGATCCCCGGCCGCCTCTTCCCAATCCCTGGCAGGAGGGAGGGAGGGAGGAAAAGGCTGGGGGCTGCTCCAGACTCCGCCCGGCTGTCAAAGAGGGGGCTTTACCGGCGTCCTCCCAGGCGCCACTCTAGGAAGCTACTCTCGTTCTCCCTACTCCCCCCCCCCATCTTTCACGTTTCAAACCTCGGTTGCGGAGGATTTTCCCCCTGGCGGCATTTTGGGCGGCGGTGCAACTTCTGGGCGTCCGGCAAGGCTGCTCCTCGGCCCCGCTCCGGGCAGGTGGGGCTGCTCCTGCTCTCCCTCGGCCGGCCAGGAGGAAGGTAGCCCCGAGTCCCTCCCCGGGTCCCCGGAGGGTGGCTGAGCCTGCCAGGATCCCGGGTGGATGCAGGGCTGGACGGGGAAAAGGGGGGGCTCGCCCCACGGAGGGAAAGGGGGGCTTTGCTTTTTAAGGTTTTTGGGGGGGGATATGGGGCAATGGAAAGAAAGACCCGCCTTCTCCCTTCAATGGGGGGGGAGGTTGATTTAAGGGGGGGTTGTTTCTTTTCCTTCAAGTGCTTTGAAAAACTGGTGGACACCCTCTTCTTTGTGGCAGCCCCCCAATATTGGAATACTGTTATCATATCACCCCCCCCCCCGTCCATCTTTACTCTAGACTGGCCATAAAGAATTCCTGCAACATTCCTTCACATGTTTTTGTCTCCAGGCCTTTAATCATTTTAGTTCCTCTCCTTTGCCCTTTTTGCAGAGTCTCAATATCTGTTTTGTAATGTGGTGACCAAACCTGGATGCAGTATTCCAGCTGTGGTCTTACTAATTTTATAAAGCTATACTAATCCTTCTTGTGATTTTGATTCTACAACTCTTGTTTATACCACTAAGGATTTTATTAGCTTTTTTTTGGAAGCTTTTGCACATTGATGGTTCGTGTTTAAGTGATTCGCTACTGGACTCCCAGTTAACTGTTTTCAAGCCAGGTTTCGCCTAATCTGTATTTGCAGCTTTAGGTTTTTCTGCCTTGCTTTTCTCTATGCTAAGTTTCATGTTGTTGGATAGGGCCCATTGTTCAAATCTATCCAGATCTTTTTAGATCCTCAGCTTGACTTCTGGGATATTGCCTATTTCTGGCAGCTTAATGTCATTTACAAATTTGATAATATCCCTTTATTCCCTCATCATTCTAAGTCATTTATGAAGACTTTGAGACTACTGGACCTAAAAGAGAACCTTGTGGTACCCCACTGTTTACTTCCCTCTATGTCAGTGGTTCTCAACCTTTTTAATGCCGCGACCCCCAACCGGTCGTAAGTCGAGGACTACTCAACCGGTCGTAAGTCGAGGATACTCAACTGGTGCAGCACCGTTTGCAGAATGGGACTTTTAGCGGGCTCAGCAGGGCAGAGACAGCCTGGACAATTCCTATTGGCTTTTGAAAGCCAATAGAATTAGACTCTATTCAAGAGAGACTATTCTATTGGCTTTCAAAAGCCAATAGAATAAAAGGGAGTAGCACAGCTAAGGAAAAGGGGGAAAAAATGGCGGACTGGGTTGTTTGGCGACGCCCGTGAAATGGTCGTTCGACCCCAAATGGGGTCCCGACCCACAGGTTGAGAACCACTGCTCTATGTTGAGGTAGTACATGTTGAGTACAGCTTGTTAGCTAATTACAAATCCATCTGGTGGTGATGCTGTCTATCCCACATTTGTCTAGCTTACCAAGATACAGGTTGTTGAATGTCTTGCTGAAATCTAAGTATACTATGCCTACAGCATTTTGCTGCTCTACTAATTTAGTCACAATGTCAAAGAAGGTGGCAGCCCTTTGGTGGGTTTTATCAATCAGAATATTGCTGGGAGGGGCCTTGGAGGTCTGGTAGTCCAACCCCTTCCTCAAGCAGGAGACCCCATACCAGGGCTTTTCAACCTTTTCACAGATTTTACCACTTTTGGATATGGCAATATTCGGCTACCACCTGTCGCCTAGCAAGGTGTCAAAAACGTGACCCAAAAAAGGGAAAGTGATAAAATATAGGTAGTCAGCTTATAACAGTTTGCTTAGTGACTGTTCGAAGTTACAATGGCACTGAAAAAAGTGACGTATGGCCATTGTTCACACTTATGACCGTTGCAGCATCTCCAGGGTCTTGTGATTTACATTCAGATGCTTGGCAACTGATTCATATTTATGACGGTCACAGTGTCCCAGGGTCATGTGATCCCCTCGTGCAACCTTTTGACAAGCAAAGTCAATGGGGAAATCAGATTCACTTAAGAACTGTGTTACTAATTTAACAACTGCAGTGATTCACTGAGCAAATGTGGCAGGAAAAGTCATAAAGTGGGACAAAACTCGTTTAACAAATTTCTCACTTAGAAACATAAATTTTGGGCTCAATTGTGGTTGCAGGTTGATGTCTATCTGTACGCCCACTTACCACACTTTTAATGGAAACCTGTGCCTGTTTCTCTGACATTTATCTTTGCACTATTCTATCCCCTTCTCTCCTTCTGGTTGACTCAAAGAAGCCGATAGGTGATTGCAGGGCCTTTGGGGGGGGGGTGCAGCTTCTACCATTGTGTGGGGGCATGGGGGGCATGTTGGGGTGCTAGTTGTATCCCCAACAGAAATGCTCAGAACAATGAAAACCTCAGACAGGGAGAAGAGCATAGGCAGGTGGGCATCTTGCTCGGCTGTAGCTTCGGGGGGGGGGGAAAGGGGGCAGCTTCACCCGCCCAAATGCTGCCCTCTTAGGAAAGCAGGATGAAAACTCCGAAAAAAACGACAAAGAAAAAAGGATCTGCCCTCTGCCGAGCAGACACAGGGTTACTATGCTCCCTCTCAATCAGGTTTGATTCCCCCCCCCACCATTGCCGCCTCCCCTGCTCGTAGCTGCCTCTGAGCCCCTCATTCTTGGGAGTTAGCATTGCTGGCATCTCTTTCTCCTGAGCCCCTCATGCTGGGAAACTGTTGCCACCCAAGAGCTGTTTTAAGGATAGGGAATCTTTGAGGGAATAACCAACTATCACCCTGACATGCCCCGGATGCCCCCGCTCCAAATGCAGAAGCCGCACCCCCCCCCCCCAAGGCCCTGCAATCACCTATCAGCTTCTTTAACTCAACCAGAAGGAGAGAAGGGAATAGAATAATGCAAAGATTAATGTCACAGAAAGAGGCATAAGCATGCCACCGGTTAAAAAGCCCTGCTTTATTTGACTTGGGTATGTTTCTTATATCTCCTCCTTTGCAACTGGGATTTATATCCTCATATTCCCCCAACCCAGAAAAGATCCCCTTTCCTTCTGTTTAACCTAAATAGAGAGGAACGAATATCCTGGATTTTATTCCAATGCTTTTATTCCAAGGCAAGGTGACGCAGGGACCGGGACAGCTGCTGCCCCACACCATCAGCCCCCCCCCCCACAGAGGCCAGCGAGCACATGGTGGCCGACGGTGTTCGTCAGCAGCCACAGCCTGACAGCCCCTCGACTAGTGCGCTCTGGGGCTCCGTAGGCGTAGCCCATACATATTTCACCCATTAAAATGCAAATCAATTTATAATTTTTTTGAAATGCATTTTCAAACAATCTATTCATGAACTTGTTTAAAAATTCCAAATTGGGTCAAACTCCATCTTTGGGGTTTTGTACATTTTGTATCACGCTAGGAGAAAAAAATGTTGAGACTACTAAGGTTGCAGAGAAGAGCAACAAAAATGATTAGGGGAAAGGAGGCTAAAACAAGAGGAATGGTTGTAAGAAATGGTTATGTCTAGTCGAAGGAAGAGAAGGACTAGAGATGACAGGATGACAGTCTTCCAATATTTGAGAAGCTGTCAGAAAGAAGGGGGAGACAACCTACTTTCCAAAGCAACTGAAGGCTGAAGAAGCAATGGCTGGAAATTAATCAGAGATGCAGGATAGAACTAAGGAGAATTTCTTCACATTTAGAACAATTAATCGGTGCAACGGCTGGCCTCCAAAAGTTGCAAATACTCCATTCTGGAGACTTTTAAGAAGAGATTAGACACTCACTTGTCTAGAATGGAAGGGATATTTTGCTTAATCTAAATAGAGAGGAATGAATATCCTGGATTTTATTCCAATGCATTGATTTTCTTTGGTTTCTACCAAGCTGGGTAGAACCTCTAAAAACCGTTATCTCCCTGGTTTTTTCTCGGAAGAGGCTGTGATGCGGCACCTGCTTCTTGGTGTGTGATTTAGAAAGGAAACTAGCAAATGGTAGAAGAAGCTTGGGAGAGAAATGGAGGGGAAAAGAAGGGAAAAGTGAACAGAGATGCAGATGAGAAAACGGGAAAGAGGGAATGGGGTGGGGAAAGGAAGAAGAAGGGATTCAGGATGGATGTTGGACTTGACCACGGCCTCAAACTGCAGAATTCAATGATACCGAAGGGGAAAATGGTGAAATATGAGAGGAGAAAAACTTGTTAATACTGTACTTGTCAATCCTGCAAATATTGTATATTCTTGCTTTTGACAATAAGCAGAATTGTCTGGTAAATATGGGGTTAATAAAGAGCAGAAGGGGCGTTGGGGGTAAAGCCCGGGAAAGAAAGAGGAAGAAAATATTTGACCTTCACACTAATTGGATAATGTGAGATATGACGGCTAATTTAGGGAGGGAACATGCTGATAATTTAACTGCTCAGAGGAAGAGAACTTAGATCCTAGCATCCCTCCGTTGTGCCTATGCTGACATTTTGTAACAATAAAAGACTTTTAGGAAAATAAATGCCTGGGGGTTCTTTGGAATGTTTCATTATCCGGAACCACAACAGTACTATAATTTTGTTAAACCGTAAAGGCCACGAAATAAAATTTGAGTTCCACACTCTCCCAAAGAGGGGATCAGTTTTCAGACCAGAAATTACACATCCCTCAACTAAAGCATTGCTAGTTTAACCATGGTTTCTGGAGCTGCTGCCCTTGGTGAAGTGATTCCAGTGGTTGGGTGGAGGCAACACATGAAGCCGAAAGAAACTGGGTGACATTTGACCCCAAAGTCTATCTTGGGCAGGTAGGACCACCAGGTGGAAGTTTTGGCCAAAGGATGCCGTCAGCCTCCCTTTGGGTAAATGGGAGTCTCAACCCCCACCATGAAGTATTGCTGACCCCGATGAATATATTTATACCCTCCCTAAACTATACAGGAATAACAGAAAGCCATTTTAGGAGGACCCCACGTTCAGTCTGTGGAGGCCCAAAGAACAGTGTCCATGAATAACTACATAGGTTGTTCTCTGTGAATTGCAGCTACCTGACATATCCTAAGTCTATGGGGCAGAGGATCTTTGCCGTGTTTTCTCACATCAAAGAGCATCACATACACACACAACTGAGAAAAAGCAAAAGGCAGGCAAATAGGAAGCAACAGGGAAAGCCGTGATAGCGCAGTGGTTAGAATGCAGAATTGCAGGCTAACTCTGCCGACTGCCAGTAGTTCGATTCTCGCCTGCACAAGGTTGACTCAGCCTTACATCCTTCCGAGGTCAGTAAAACGAGGACCCAAATTGTTGGGGGCCAATATGCTGACTCTAACCCCTTGGAGAGGGCTGTAAAGCGATATATATGTCTAAATGCTATTGCTATTCTGTCACCCATCATGAATCTTTCTCTCTTCTTTTCTTCTTTTTCCTTCTTCCAACAGGTGGCACCAGGAAAAGTGGACAAAGTTTCAGTTGTTAGATTTTCTGCGTTTAGAAAGCCCTGCAACTGAGAAGGCGCCACAAATTATGCTGGCTGGAGAAATACTTTGATAGGAGGTCACCTCAGAGGAACTGGGAGAGACTCTTCAAGTGCTCTGAGGGCGGGATATCTTTTGCTCACAAATCCCTCCTTTTGATTAACCGGACGCTGGACATAGGGAATGGATCCCATCGGTGTTTGAAGTGTGAAAACTCGTTTTGTGGTTGTGAAGCTTTGCCAAACATCTCCAGAGCCACCCCAGACTGAAGCCCTACAAATGTGGAGAGTGTGGGAAGCATTTTGCTAAAGGCTGGGACCTCGGAGCTCCTTAGCGTATCCACCAGGGAAAGAGACCTCAGGAAGGCCTCAGTGTTTTTCCAGGCCTCAGAACAGCCCAACTGAAGAGAAACCCTGCAATTGTGTGCAATGTGGGCTTTGCTTTTCTCAAACCTCAGAGATGCTTAAACTTCAACAAATCCACACTGGACAAAAACCTTATCAATGTCTGGAGTGTGGGAAATCTTTTGTTCGAAAAACAAGTCTCAAAATCCATGGGAAAATTCACATGGAAATAAAACCTTATAAATGCTTAGAGTGTGGAAAACGTTTCACTCGAAGTTCATCTCTTTGCAAACATACTAAAACACACACAGAGGAGGAAAGCAGAACGTGTCTGGAATGTGGGAAATGTTTTTCCAGCAAATCATCCCTGCAACGACATCAGAAAGTCCACACTGGGAAAAGACCCCATGAATGCCGAAAATGTGAGAAACGATTTGAGACTTCTTCCACACTTCGGAGACACCTAAAGACGCACATGGGAGAAAAACTCTATAAATGTGAGGTTTGTGAGAAATGCTTTTCTCTAAAGGGAAGTTTTTTTCGACATCAGATAATCCACACAGGGGAGAAACCCTATCACTGCATCGAGTGTGGAAAATTTTTTAGTACGATATCAAGCCTCGGACATCATAAGAAAATTCACAGAGGGGAAAAAAAATACAAATGTTTAGACTGTGGGAAAGCATTTATTCATTCAGCTCATCTTAGAAGTCACTGGCAAGTCCATATAGGAGAGAAGCCCCATAAATGCTCAGAGTGCGATAAATGTTTTTCTAAGAAAAATAGACTTTTGATACATCAGAGGACCCACAGTGGAGAGAAACCATATAAATGTCCGGAGTGTGGGAAGTCTTTTCCTTGCCAAGAATATCTTAAAAAACACCAGACGATTCACACAGAAAAAAAACGTATCAGGTCTAAACAGAAAAATGAAATGTGCTCAGAATGTGGGAGATGTTTTTCCCAAAGGTCACACCTAATTCGACATGAGAGACTTCACACCGGAGACAGGCCCTATCAATGCCCAGAATGCGACAAGCGATTTGTGGAGTCTTCTGAACTCCGGAGACACCAGAGGGGGCACACAGGAGAGAAGCCCTACAAATGTGGGGAGTGTGCGAAAGGTTTTCTCACAGCAACACTGCTTCGGGTTCATGGGAGAATCCACACTGGAGAGAAACCGTATAAATGTGTGGAGTGTGGGAAATGCTTTTCCCAAAAACAACACCTTGGAAGTCATCAAAAGGTCCATAAAAGAGTGAGGCCATAAAGACTTGTAAAGTGTAGAAATGTTTTGCTTAAAAGGGAAATATCAGAAAACTCACATGGGAAAAGGCCTAACAGGCCCTGATGGTGGAACAGTTTTTCATAGTTGTTCACCCTTAGAAGTCATGTAAGAGTTCCTAAAGGGGGGGGGGGGAGAGATTGGAAACCCTGAGATCATGAGAGCATTTTTTTTTTGTCAATCATCCCTTAAAAACCATACTCTAATCCATATAGGAAAGATGCAGCATAAATGTTTGGAGTGTGATGTATGTTTTGCCTGAAAAAATACTCTTTTTCAGCATCAGTGAATTCTTACTGGAGAGAAACTTTTATGAGGGCTTAGGATGTGGCCAAGGTTTTCATCTGACAATCAGGTCTTCAGATGCCCTTGAAAAACCCACACAGGAGAAAAACCTTAATACGTGTGTAGTGTGAGAAAACCTTTCCTTCCCAATTGGAACATCTTGCCTCCTGGAGTTTGTCCCTTTGAAATTGCCTCTTTGAAAATTTTCTTGCCAACTTAAAATTTTTATAATTTTTTAAAACTTTTCATTTTCAGAAGTGAATATGAAAGTCTAATGTGAGTGTGAAAATCTAAAATCTAATGTGAAATCCTCCGGAATCAAAAAAGTGGCTTCCGGCTAAGATCTTGGAAGCCACCAAAAGTCTCTTGTGAGTTGGGCAGGATTAATACATCCAGGAAATATATACAGGCAGTCCTCAACTTATTTTACGACCTCTTTTCCCACAGTTGCTGAGTGAATCACTGCAGTTGATGAGTGAATCACGCGGGTGTTAAGTGAATCTGGCTTCCCCCATTGACTTTGCTTGTCAGAAAGAAGGCTGCAAAAGGGGATCACGTGACCCTGGGACACAGCAACGGTCATAAGTATGAGCCAGTTGCCAAGCATCTGAGTTTTGATCACATGACCATGGGGAGGCTGCAAAGGTCGTAACTGAAAAACGGTCATAAATCAACTTTTTTTCAGTGCCATTGTAACTTTGAACGGTCACTAAATGAACTAGTGTAAGTCAAGGACTCCCTGTAGAAGCATCCTGGAGCACAGCGGATGGAAGCCCGGAAGAAGGGCTTTGATTATTATTTTGTGGTAATTTTAAAAGAAACCATGATATTAATGGAAAAATTGACTGATTTTAAGGCATTAGCTGATTATAAAATCAATGGTGAATAGACAAAGAAGTTGACCAAAATATGAAAATGGAAGACCAAAAAGAATTGATGGGAAAAGCGGTTTAAAAGAGAAGTAAGACATTTGGATATTCTTACAAAGAATACGAATTCTATGTCAAAATAATTATGACAAGGCATGGAGTGAAATCAAGAAGAATTTGTTAAGATGGAAAAAAAATTACAATTGTCGTTGGGTAGAATTTCTATAATTAAAAATAACTACATTACCTAGAGACTGATGTTTCTGTTTTAAACAATGCCTATGTGGACAACGGGTGCACCACTAAAGAAATGGCAGGAAATATAGCTAAGCTTATATGGCAGGAGAGAAGCCAAGAGTTTAATTGGAATCTCTTCAAGAGGAAACAGTGCTTGGTAATAATGATGATGATGGAAGGGATCTTGGAGGTCATCTAGTCCAACCCCCCCGCTCAGGCAGGAAACCTTATATAGGGTCATTCTTTTATGGAAGCTGTTTGTTCCCTATTGTGTGCAAAGTGGGTGCATTGGATTTCTTCTTTAGGTTCATTTCTTTTAGAATCTGTTTCTCTACAAAGGAAACTGGCAAGTGGGAGAGCAAGTCAATGAGAGAAATGGGGGGGGGGGAAAGGAAGGGAAAAACGAACTGAGCTGTAAATGAGAGAAGGGGGAAAGAGGGAGCTGAGGGGGGAGAGGAAGAGGAGGAGATTCAAGATGTCTTGTGGCCTTGACCAGGACAGCCTCAGAGGCCTAAACACAACTGAAAAGAAAAAGCATTGAATATGAAAGAGGAGAAAAAAATCATGTTAATTCTATAATTTTGCTAACCCATAAAGGCCGTGAGGTAAAATTCAATTTTGTCCCTAGCACATCTTCCAAAGCGGGGAGCAGTCTTCAGCAGAAAAAATACGAATCCCTCAGCTAAATCATTACTTTAACCATGGTTTCTAGCGCTTCTTCCCTTGGTGAAGGGATTCCCGTGGTTGTGTGGATACAACACATGAAGCGAAAAGGGTTTTTTTTAGGGAGGGAGGGAGGGCAAAGTCTAACTTGGGCAGATAGGACGATCTGGTGGTAGTTTTGGAGAAAAGATGGTCTCAGCCTCCCTTTCAGGAAATGGAATTAACCCCCAATGTGAGGCATTGCTCACCCTGATGAATATATTTACACCCACCCTCCTTTAACTGCCAAAGCAACAATAGGAAGCCATTCTAGGAGGAGGCCATGTTAAGTCTGGTGGCCCAAGGAACTTTATAGGTTATATCAGTGGTGGCGAACCTATGGCACGGGTGCCAGAGGCGGCAGTCAGAGCCCTCTCTGTGGGCACACGCGCTGTCACCCCAGTCCTAGGCCTTCAGCTGGGTTTTATAAAACCTTTTCGCTTTAGGCCAGTGGTTCTCAACCTTTTTAATGCCGCGACCCCCCCCAACCGGTCATAAGTCGAGGACTACTCAACTGCTTCAGCACCGTTTGCAGAATGGGACTTTTGGCAGGCTCAGTAGGGCAGAGACAGCCTAGACAATTCCTATTGGCTTTTGAAAGCCAATAGAATTAGACTCTATTCAAGAGAGTCTGTTCTATTGGCTTTTAAAAGCCAATAGAATAAAAGGGAGTAGCACAGCCAAGGGGAAAAAAATGGCGGACTGCGTTGTTTGGCGACCCCCGTGAAATGGTCGTTCGACCCCAAATGGGGTCCCGACCCACAGGTTGAGAACCACTGCTTTAGGCCTTCGCTGCCATGTGCAAAAAAAAAAAAAAAGTTCAATCAGTAAATTTCAACTTCTCACGGCAAAAAAAATAGATCTTGCAAAGTTGGCATTGATTGAACTTTTTAGTCCCACCCAATCTGCTTGTCAGAATCCAATTATATTTCATCTTTAATTATCAAACATAGAAAACCCCAATTCTGCCTTCTCTGGATTCTGCCATAAGAGGGAGAGAAGGGGGAGAACAAAGGGGCTTTATGGCCCTCACTTCCTTCAGCACACTTCAAAGAGCTGAATACTGAATGTGTGTTTATTACCTCAAAGTGTTAGTACCCAAGAACATTACCATAACAAGGAAGGGTATTTGCCTTTCATGTAGTTATCTGAAGTCTCCATCCAGACGGAAGAAAGAAGAAAGGGGGTGGAATTGTGATACTTGAAACTATCACTGGAAGGGGGGTTGATTGGGTGGGACTACTGGGAACCCCTTAAAACCTTGAATGGGAGAGCTTGAACCCCAAGTCCTGTCTAGCATGCCTGCAACCATTTTCTCTTAATAAAGGATTCCTGTTGGAAGAATTATTCCAAGAGTTCTGTCTTCTTAAGATGCAAAGTGGGGTGGGTCCTTACCACCCAATGGGCCACACCCACCCGACACTCAACGATTCATAAATGGGTTTTGGGTTGCAGTTTGGGCACTCAGTCTCTAAAAGATTCGCCATCACTGGGTTATATACTCTGCATCATTAGAGCTACCTGACACATACAAATCCTATGAGGGGTGGGGATCTATATCAGTGATGGCGAAACTTTTAGAGACCCAGTGCCCAAACTGTAACTCAAAACCCACTTATTTATGGCTGGATGCCGGGTGGGCGTAGCCACTGGTTGGGCGTGGCCAGAGTAGGTGTGGCCACCTCGAAGTTGCTCGTGGGGAGGGACACTGGGGCTGGGCAGGGTTGGGGGAGGTTTCTGGGGGGTGGGGTAGGAGGCTCATCCTGCGGGGTAAGGCAAGGCAGGGGGCAGGGCGGGGGTGCCATTGCCACAGAGCAAGGCAAGGTGAGGCAGGGACCGGGGCAGCTGCTGCCCCACACCATCACCCCCCCCCACATAGGCCAGCGAGCTCATGGTGGCCGACGGTGTTCGTCAGCAGCCACAGCCTGACAGCCCCTCGACTAGTGCGCTCTGGGGCTCCGTAGCCCAGTGGTTCTCAAACTGTGGGTCGGGACCCCATTTGGGGTCGAACGACCATTTCACAGGGGTCGCCACACAACGCAGTCTGCCATTTTTCCCCCCTTTTCCTTAGCAGTGCTACTCCCTTTTATTCTATTGGCTTTTGAAAGCCAATAGAATAGACTCTCTTGAATAGAGTCTAATTCTATTGGCTTTCAAAAGCCAATAGGAATTGTCCAGGCTGTCTCTGCCCTGCTGAGCCCGCCAAAAGTCCCATTCTGCAAACAGTCCTGCACCAGTTGAGTAGTCCTCGACTTACAATCGGTTGAGTAGTCCTCGACTTACGACCGGTTGGGGGGGGTCACGGCATTAAAAAGGTTGAGAACCACTGCCGTAGCCCATACATATTTCATTCATTAAAATGCAAATCAATTTATAATTTTTTTGAAATGCATTTTCAAACAATCTATTCATGAACATTTAAAAATTCCAAATTGGGTCAAACTCCATCTTTGGGGTTTTGTACATTTTGTATCATGCTAGAGAAAAAAATGTTGAGACTAGTAAGGTTGCAGAGAAGAGCATCAAAAATGATTAGGGGAAAGGAGGCTAAAACACGAGGAATGGTTGTAAGAAATGGTTATGTCTAGTCGAAGGAAGAGAAGGACTAGAGATGACAGGATGACAGTCTTCCAATATTTGAGAAGCTGTCAGAAAGAAGAGGGAGACAACCAACTTTCCAAAGCAACTGAAGGCTGAAGAAGCAATGGCTGGAAAATAATCAGAGATGCAGCTTAGAACTAAGGAGAATTTCTTCACATTTAGAACAATTAATCGGTGCAATGGCTGGCCTCCAAAAGTTGCAAATACTCCATTCTGGAGACTTTTAAGAAGAGATTAGACACTCATTTGTCTAGAATGGTATAGGATCTCTTGCCCGGTCAGGGGGTTGAGCTAGAGTAGATCTCCAAGCTCAACTGTTATTCTGTTATTCTGTAAAGCTTGCTCATTTGTGGCTTGGAAAATTATACAAACCCACCAGTTACCCCACGGTGAGCAATGATCAAAGCAAAGCAGGGCTGGGAGTAAACTATGATTAAGCCATGATTAAGGCCGGTCTCCCTCCCTGGGGGAACCACGCCCGGATCCATCATCGCTTCTTTGGAACCGGCGGAACCTCCTCCTCCGCCCACCTCCCTACTACGTAGCCCATCCTCCACAGCCATCTCAACCTTGCCAGGTGCCGGAAAAGGGATCCCGAGTCCCCCCCAAACCTCGGGGGGAAGCAGGGAGCGAGGGTCCCTGGCCGCCTCTTCCCAATCCAGGGAGGGAGGGAGGCAGGGAAAGCCTCAGGGCTTCTCTGGCCTCCGCCGGGCTGTGAAAAAGGCGGATCACCCGGCATCCTCCGAGGGGGAAGCGGCGCTTTCCGGGCCTCGAAACTCCGGCCCCTCCACCGGAGGAGGAGAGGACAGAGTGGCCAGAACGCCCACTCTCCCGTGGAAAAGGAAATGGAACTCCGCTCTAGGACATTCCTCTCGTTCTCCCTACTCCCCACCCCCCCATCTGACGTTCCAGAGCTCCGTTGCGGAGGATTTTTCTTCTCCGCCTTTTTCCCCCCTGGCGGCATTTTGGGCGGCGGTGCAACTTCTGGGCGTCCGGCAAGGCTGCTCCTCGGCCCCGCTCCGGGCAGGTGGGGCTGCTCCTGCTCTCCCTCGGCCGGCCAGGAGGAAGGTAGCCCCGAGTCCCCCCCCGGGTCCCCGGAGGGTGGCTGAGCCTGCCAGGATCCCGGGTGGATGCAGGGCTGGACGGGGAAAAGGGGGGGCTCG